TGTCCCTTTCCTTTACAATGAGCACATTGGTCCTTGTTAAGGGGAGGCCTTCCTTTCTTTTCTTTTTGGTTTCCTTGGGGTCCATTCTTATAGCGACCTTGTGGAGTGATTTTTCTGCCCTGAGCGGCTAGTAGAATTTTAGCTAGCTGCTTTGTCTGACCTGTTATGGGATCATCCCTATTCAGGAAGACTTTTAGAGCAATTTCTAACTATTCACTAAGATTCTTTCCTTCAAATCCTTCTCTTTTGTAATTTATTTCTGATTTCTGGGGCCGACTGGGAGACAAAAGCTATGTTAACAATACGTTTATTCTCATTTGCTTCTGGGCCCAAGGGAGAATAGGTCCGGTAGGACTCAAAGTCTTTCTAGGAAGGCTGCAGGAGATTCATCCCTGCCCTGTAAAACCTCACGTATCTTATTGAAGTTTATGGGCTTCTTAGCTGCTGCCCTTAGACCCCTAAGCAGAGACTGGCGATAATGGTGTAAGGCCTCCTGCCCTGTGTTGGAGTTGGGATCTCAGTTAGGGGAAAGTGTGGGGAGTTGTTCCTCTATTTCTTGGCAGTGCGATTGGGTGTCCCCTTCCCCCTCCCCCAAAAGGCTTTTCGCGGCTTCCCTATATATTCTCCCTCTCTCTTCTGACGTAAATAACGTCTGCAAAACATGTTGACAATCGTCCCATGTAGGTTGATGGGTATGGAAAATAGTCTCCATCAAGATTAATTCTTGGGGCTTCTCCAAAAAGGAGGGGTTTTGGTGCCTCCAATTGTATAAATCACTAGTTGGAAAAGGGACATAGATATAACGCTGTCCTGGAGGCGCCCCTGGCTGTGGGGCACCTCACGGAGAGGCAACAGTGGGACCGAAGAGTCTGGGATTTCTTCCCTTTTACTGTAAGGGGTCCATGGGGCTTCTTGAGTACTAAGTGGCCCCTGTATTAACTAGAAAATCAATAGCTGGCCCCCAACTGTCAAAGTTACCGTAGGCTCCTGAGGGCAGGTATGTGGGGGACCATCTGTATGTGGGGGACCATCTAAATTCGGGGGAGGAGCCGATTGATGGGCCTCAGGAGGTCCCTGTGGATAAGGGGGAGGATTTAGTAGCCCCTGGATCGGGTCCCCAGGGTCCTCCAGCAACACCGGGTAGAGTCTATTCTGAGGGCGTGGCTCTGGCGGCAGACCCTCGGGGTTTTTCGAGCCCTTTGAGGGTTGCTCAGGAGGCACTTCCCCTTTTGGTCTCAGCGGGGCTCGCATAATAGTGCGGCCCCCAATTTTGGCTTTCATTTCTTTCCCCTCCATTTTTGAGGGTGCTAAGCACTTTCTTAGATAGCCCGGTTTGTCATGGGCTATATCTATCCACACATCTATATATACTTGTTGGTCGGGGTGTGGGACCTTATATATCATAGCTCTAATAAGGAGAGGTCAAATGACCCCTCAGGTGGCCAGTCTACACCAAACGACGGCCATTCTAATTCACACAGGGTCCTGAGGACGCCTGGATCCGCTGGCTGCCCGTGGTCACAGGAGCGCTTAAAGAATCAGAGAAGTTATTCAGCATGCATTGGAGCGGGGTTCGGGCCTTCGAGTCTTGCCCCATTCTGTAGGAAGAAAAGTAGCTGGCACACAACAACAACACAAGGACAGACAATAACAGACAGTGAACGCCCACTTTCATTCATACACCAGATGAATCCGCAAGAGGATTCCCAGAAGTCAGGGAACAGCATCCCATCCCGACCAGGGTGAGGCAGTTCTGCGGCGTCCCGCCGGCCGAACACCCGATACAGCCCTCGAGGGAACAACCGAAATCAGATGGAAAGGGATGGGGTTTCCCTTACCTCCAGCCATCCCTGGACGGATCCGAAAAGCTCCTAGTCAAATGGAAAGCCAATTTGAGGCGAAGGATACGGAGGCTTCCTTCACCTAGTCGGAGAGGTCTACCCCAAAGGGAGGGGGACCTCGCGGTGATCTCGCTGGGGCCTCCAAATGTTGTAACCCAGGAGAGTCAACCTCACTTGGACACAAAGTAATTTTGAATATTTGGAGCTTTATTACCTGCACAGGGGCTACAGCACCCCGTAGCAGACTTTCAGCCCTTTTATAATTAGGGCTAAACAAGCACTAATTAGTAAACGTGTGACAGAGTTAGCCAGGTGTAGTACATACATTCTTAAAAAGGAAGCTTCAGTTTCTCCTTATTTACAGCTGAAGAACGTTACTTTTCAAATTCCCAGTGGAGGTCAAACTCTGGTTGATTTCTCATGGGGCTAAAGCCACCTATAACACTGAGGACACTTCATTTCATTTCATTTCATTTTTGTAATTATCTTCAGACCGAGTGGGAGAGGAGGAAGAGAAACATCAATGTGAGAGAGACATATCCATTGGCGGCCACCCACACGACCCAAACCAGGGAGGAGGACAAACCGCAACCCAGGTTCATGCCCTTAGCGGAAACCCATCGGGGACTCTGCTCCACCGGTGGAAGCTCTAACCGCTGAGCCAAACCGGCAGGGGCGGAGACCATTCTTTTAAAGTACAGTCCGCCCTCGTTTCGATAAATGAACTTCCCCGAGGTAGGATTCTTTATTTACATACAGTTGTCCCTAGCCACTTGAACTTTCGCAGCTTCGTGCTATCTCGGTTCTTTCAAAGTACTATACTATATTTCAAAAAACCGCCATAGAGTGCAGCCCTGAAAGTGGAATTGGGAAGTGGCAGGGACCACTGTACTGCAGTCTTAAGGTAATCCTGCTCAGTAGGAGAGGGACCACAGGTTCAGGCATTTAGTGTATGTGCTGGGCTGAGGAGCCAAGGGGCGAAGTTACTATCTGTGGGATTATGACTCAGCACCTGTGAGCCAGAATCCCGCCCAGGCGGAACCAAACGGCAGCACCGGCAGCACCGGGGGGCCTTGGTTAGCCTCCGATAGCGCGGTCCCTACCGGTGGGCCACCAAGCGCTGCGATTGGGGTTTGGTGCCCAGAGCCCCCCATCCTTGGAATCAGGAACGCGGGAAAGAGGGCCGCCCCATCGCCCCCACACGCAATGCATGTTTCTGGGGAACCTGGTGCTAAACCACTGGTAGAGAACCTGCTTCTGGGTCCGGTTTCCTACTAGCAGAGCAGAGGACCTTCACAGCGAGGTATTCCTCCTGATTTTTATTTGCCACACATGGGTGTGGGACCAGCGGTCCATTCCTCCACCCCTCCTACCAGTCTCAGCGGGCTTCTTTAATTTCTTAGTTGTAGGTCTTCCATTCAGCTTGATTTCAGGCAGTTCTGACTGATGGTTGTTCTGTAGTTTAGTTGTAAATTTGATGTGGGTTGTCCGTATCTCATTCTTATTTGAAATTGTTTCACTGTTTACAATTCAGATTAAATTTTTGTTTTTTTCATATTCATATCTTTTGTCCACTTTTTCAGTATTATTTTTCTCTTATTAACATGTAACTATTCTTTTATATTAAATGAAATATATGCTGTAAATATTTTCTCCCAGTATTTTACTTATTTTTCTGAATAGCATGGGGGAAAACAGTGCCAATTTCACAGCTATACCCACCAATATTTTGATTCTCCAAAAATGATTAAAATACATTTAACAAAGCAGTGTGTTAAACATATCTTCAAAAGTGTACATGTAGACCCCAAAACATACACAGATATTATCAACTATAGACAGGTATAGTCTACCAATTGAATATTTGTGAGTCATTTTATCAATTCTCCCAATTTTATATTAATTCCTTATTTTTTCAAAAATAAGTATTTTATTTAAAATTTGGTTATAACAAATAAATATGTATTGAATGTAAATTATTCTAGCTCCTACAAGATAAAATCTCATCTCTTTGGAGGTAGCTTTCATTAAGCTGTAAAACAAGAAAGAAAGTTTGGCTTTGATATAAACTCTGCCCTGACCCAAGTGTGGCTGGTAACTAACCACACTTGTATAGAGCAAGAGCAGAGAGCACTTTTTGGATACTTAGACAATCTAATATGGAGTCACTGTCAGCCATGACAGTTATGTCAAGCACTATGTCAAAGACTTGAGGTAATGACGTGTAAGGGACCGCACAAAATCACAAATTGGGTCACTTGGATAAAGACTCCATCTGGGGCGTTGGCCTGCGGTACAGAGAGACCCAGGTTCAGTTCCCGCTAAGGGCACGTACCTGTACCTCGGTTGCAGTTTGTCCTTGGCCCTGGTTGGTCGTGCGGGTGGCAGCCACTGGATGTGTCCCTTTCACGTCGATGTTTCTCTCTCTCTCTCTCTCTCTCTCCCTCTCTCTCCCTCCCACTCTATCTGAACAAAAAATGAAAAAATGTCCTCGGGTGAGGATAAAAAAAAAGACTCCATCTGGGGAGGGGGAAGGGGAATCAGTGGGGGGAAAAGGAGAAACATCTGTAACAAAAATTAATTAATTAATAAAAAATAAAATAAATAAATAAAGACTCCATCTGGACACCAATATGAGTGGGACCTGCACCCCTAGTGGGCAATAGGAACTCAGAGCTCCGACCACCCTGTGCTGGAGCCTGACGGTAGCACGGGTAATGCTCCGAGCCCTGCTGGACCTGCACTCCACCGGATCGGTGGCACTGCAGCCGCCAGCCTTGTGACCCAGTCCAGCCTCTCCACCTGTGAACCCGCCAGTGGCTAGGACTTTGAGCTAGGACTTGGTCTGCTCGCATTAGTGAGTAGGCTCCCCCTCGCTGTGTGTGACCCTATTGGCTTATTGGGGAGGCCTCCCCTAATAATCCTGACATTGTGGAAAGACACAAATGTGTGTGACTTTCTTCGGGATGCTCCCAGCTCAAGACAACCACACTTGGCACAGCATTCCCAGAAGCTTACTCACCGCACCCCACTCCTCCCGCCCCAGCATCGCTTTGTCCCCATGACAGAGGCGGGGGGGGGAGGGGGAGGGTGAGCGAGGAGCGTGGGGGGGAGGGGCAGGGCGGAGGGCGGGCCCCGCTGTGGCCACTGATCTTGGGCCGGGTGCTGATCTACGACGCACCCGACACCTTGCGGGCAGAGAGGCGAGGGCGCGCGGGGAAACCTTGGGAAAGCACGAGGAGCGGTGCCAGGCCCGGCCAGCAATGCCTCCGGTCGCTGCGATTTCTTCCGGCGCCCGTGCGCAATTGAGCTCGGTGCGCGTCTGAGGCTGTGGCCTCGTCTCGGCCCCCATCCTCAGCTGCCGGCCGCCATGGCCTTCGCCGCCCGGGAGAACGCGAGCTCGGAGCGCAGGCGGCCGCCGCGGCACCGGGCGCTGCGCGGGCTGCTGCTGCTCTGCCTGTGGCTGCCGAGTGGCCGCGCCGCCGCGTCGCTGTCCGAGCTGCACGCGCAGCTCTCGGGCGTGGACCAGCTGCTGGAGGAGTTCCGCCGGCAGCTGCAGCAGGAGCGGCCTCAGGAGGAGCTGGAGCTGGAGCTGCGCGCCGGCCGCGGCCCCCAGCAGGGCTGCCCGGGCCCGGGCGGCGGCGGCTACAGCGCCATGACGGACGCCATTATCCGCACCAAGGACTCCATCGCGGCGGGCGCCAGCTTCCTGCGGGCGCCCGAGGCCGTGCGGGACTGGCGGCAGTGCGTGGCGGCCTGCTGCTCCGAGCCGCGCTGCTCTGTGGCCGTGGTGGAGCTGCCCCCGCGGCCCGCGCCCCCGGCCCCCGCGCTCGGCTGCTACCTCTTCAACTGCACCGCGCGCGGCCGCAGCGTCTGCAGGTTCGCCCTGCACCGCGGCTACAGCAGCTACAGCCTCAGCCGCGCCCTGGAAGGGCAGCGAGACCCGGAAGCCATCTTCCCGGCCACCGCCCGGGCCTCGCCTCGGCTGGGTAAGCGTGCCCCGAAGGAGCTGGGGCCGGCCCGCTTGAGACCGGCTGTCCTTGCACCTGTTGGGTGGCTGCATCTGGACGACCCGCCTAGGCAGGACCGCTGGGCCCTCGGCCAAAAACATTTTTATAAGGCATGGTTTGTGTCAAGTAATTGCAAGAGCAAACTGTAGTCACATCACACATTGTTTTTCTTGTGATATTTCTATTTTGTTTTGTGTTTTGTGGTTTGGTTTGTGTTGTGTTGTGTTTTTATTCCTCCCCCGAGGATATTCCTCCATTTATCCTCAGATGGAAGGGGGCGGGCGCAGAGACAGAAAGACATAGATATGAGAGAGACACATGATTTGGTTGCCTCCTGCAGGACCGGGACCCCAGCCAGGGCTGGACCGAATCACAACCTTGACCCGAATGGAACTGGGACTCTGGTCCGTGGGCTGACGCTCTGACCGCTGAGCCAAATGGGCCAGGGCTTTGCAGTGATATTTCTGTTTCTTTGAAATATATGGACATTCCACCAGCGCTGTGGCTCAGTGGTTGAACGGGGACCCATGCACCAAGAGGTCCCCGGTTGGATTTCGGGTCAGGGCACATGCCCAGGTTGTGGGCATATCCCCAGTGGGGGGTCATGCAGGAGGAGGACCATCTATGTTCGCTCTTATGCATGTTTCTATCTCTCCCTCTCCCTTCCTCTCTCTCAAAAATCAATAAAGAAAAATATTTTAAATATATATATGGGCATTTGGGTAAGCTTACTAATAAGAAGCTTAAGTCAATTAAAATATTCACAACTGTGCTCTTAGAAATGCAGCTTCTCCCATCAGTCATCACTGAAGCAGCCCTCAGTTAAGTATTAATATTTCAGGGAGTATAAGTAGCCTTAAATTACTTAATTCCATTCTACGTCATAGGTAAATACATACTTGTTTTGCCATTTTGGGACAACTCAGAAACTCAGTGTGCTGGATTCTGTTATAAAACTTAGTTGCTAGAAGCTGTGAACTTCTTTGCCAGATGAAAAATTAGACTCCATAAAATTTCATGTAGGTTTTATTTTGTATAGCTCCAAGAACTTGCCTTAGCTTTCCAAATTTATTTCCCAGTCATTGGACACTTTATGTTACACATGTTTTAAAACCTTGTGGATAAGAAAATCTATATCAGAGGTGGATTTGTTTTTTTTTTTTTTATTATAAGTGAAAGATGACTGTTTTTATTCAAATGCAGTATTTCTTTCCAAGTTAAATGAACAAGTTGAATTTTAAGCTTCATGTCACAGATGTGTTATTAATGATCAGAAATCAAGTCAAATACACTTCACTGAGGTCATGGGTGCTACACAGACAGCTGATAGGAACTGGTGCATTGGACTCGATGTTCCAGGGTCAAGCAGTAGGACCTAACTTCAACAAATGGCAGCTGTCTCTGGTTTCTTTTCCATAGGGGAAAAGTGTATAAGTTAAAGTTTAGCTAGATTGGAAGTGGTTTCTTTTTAAGGTTTGTTTCAAGAATTTTAAAAAATAAATTCAATGAACATAATTTATAAATTAAGTGAATCTTTCACTCTAGACTCTGGAGTCTAGAGAATGAGACTACTCCAGATTTCCACATTAGAGGGCCTAGTTCACTGTCTGATACCCACAAGTTTGTTCTTGCTACTGCTCACACCTGATACTCCACACTTCTGCGTTTATTGTAGCTAAATTCCAGATTCATAATTTATTGCTATTTTATTTATTATTTAAAGGGAATACAATGAAAATCAATAAGATAGTAACTTTCAGTTGCTATGTATTTTCTTAGCAGTTAACAAGATACCTCTTAATTAATTAGAAAAAATAAGGAATCATCTCTCCTGTGAATTATTGTCTTTCACAGAAAAGGATGAGCCTCCACTTAGCAAGGCTGGACAGGATGTGGTTTTGCGTCTCCCCACAGACGGGCTGATTTTGGATGGCCGCCAGAGCACAGATGACCACGCCATCATCCACTATGAGTGGACACTGCTGCAGGGTGACCCATCAGTGGACATGAAGGTAATTCATGTCATTGTCATGAAAACTAATGTTTCAGTAAAGTAGTCTTCAGTAATGCCCTTCCACTTATGTTCCCACAATATCTGTAAGCTAGCAGAAGAGGTAGAAAACGGAGAAAGTATAAGTGTGATTGCTGAAAAATATCGTTTTGGTCTATATATTTACTTTAAACAGTGATTCTGATCATTTGTTATGAAGCTTACTTTGTCCTTGCTGCTTCTTGGTTGACTTCTCCAGAATACAAAATAACTTCCAGGAAAAAAAACTCATGCTTTGTTTTAATGACTTAGATTATTGTTTAAAATGTTGATTTCTTCTTTTCTTAGTTCAAGATCCAGGTAGAAAATTTGAAAAATACAAAGGAGTATAAAAAGGAAAATAGCAGTAGAATGAACTCATTCTTCACATGATCCCCAAAGTAATCCTTTTACCTGCTGGAGAGAATTGAGTGAGTGGTCAGGGCAGGAGGTGCTCCACCCTGATTTTCCTCAGGCTTGTCTGGGCCAGGCTGCACTTGCTGGAGGTGGGGGTGAGCTCCTTGTCAGCAGCTGCAGAGAATGAGCTCCTTGTCAGCAGCTGCAGACAGCAGTATTTCCTGCCTTGGGCAGATAAACAATCCAAAGCACTTCCTTTAGAGAAAGTGGGAAGAATTTTGTTGGTTTTGTTAGGGTTGCCACAACAAAGTACCACAGACTGGTTAAACAACTTAGGTTTATATTCTCACACTTCTGGAGGGGAGAAGTCAAGGTCAAGGTTCCACCACGGGTTGGTTTCTTCTAAGGCTTCTCTTACTGGCTTGTCGTTGGCTGTCTTCTCTTTCCTGTCTTCACATGGTGTCCCCTCTATGGGGAAGCACTGATTGATATTCTATTGAAACAAAAACAAAGGCAGTCATGGAGTCCCTCAAGACTGATTTACACACACTGATTTACTCAATGGTTATGCAGTCTTGGAACTGGGCTGGATCCTTGTTCTGTCTGGTACCCAGCCTCCCATCCATATTAGAGCCCCTTCTATGACATCCCTTCCAGGGTCTCCCACACTCTGCCTAGATATTCCCAGAGATGTGTGCTCCCAGCTTCACCTCATGTTCTATACCTTTAATCAGCTATAATTATTAGGCAAACAGGATATGCCTCCCTGTTACTTCCGTGCATTGGTGCTGGGTCTTCTCTTTGGAAAAGCACTGAACACATCTTTCTTTATTCTGTGTGACAGTCCCTTAACTCTTTGAAAAAGATGAATGTCACCACTTGGGATGTTCTTCTCAGAACTCAGTAACCCCCCCCTTTTTTTTTTATCTTCACCTGAGGACATTTTTCCACTTTTTGTTCAGATAGAGTGGGAAGGAAAGAGAGGAAGAGAGGGAGAAACATCAACGTGAAAGGGACACATCGAGTGGCTGCCACCCGCACGACCAGCCAGGGCCAGGGACAAACTGCAAGCGAGGTACGAGCCCTTAGTGGGAAACGACCCCGGGTCTCTCTGGACCGCAGGCTGACGCTCTAACTGCTGAGCCAAACCAGCCAGGGCAGTATGCCCCATTCTTTCAGATATTCCTCACATGAATTGATTTCCCTACCATCTGGATTTTCTCAGATTCATCCATATGCTTCTTAAAGTCTGACACCCCTGCTTGAACCCCATATGTCAACTGAAGATATGTGTATGTTCCCAATACAGATATCAGCTCCTGAGATCCAGACATTGTCTCTACTGCTATTAATGAAGCTTAATTTACATAAACTATATGAGTAGCTGTACCACACACATGTGGAGTTTTCCATGAACAGGAGCACCTAAAACCTGCTTCATCTTCTGCATGAACGGCTTCTCCCATCGCCTCCCCATCTTGTGTAATTGATTTATTGAACTTGAGGGCGTGCAGAACCATATGTTTACCCTTTTTACATCTCAATAGAGACAATTTTGAACTTTGAGTGTAATCCATATTTATTATCCTTCTATGCTTTGTGTCAGCTGCAAAACTCATACATACATCTCTACCAAAATCTTTGATAACTAAGGTTGATGAGGAAAGGTGCATGGATGAGTCATTGATGGTACACTAGAAAGCTCTCCTGAGATGGACACTCACTATTAAGTGGCACTTATGGGAAATATTTGTTTGAGCAGCTACTAGCTTGTCATTTATACTACTAAAAGTGCTATTCTGTAAATGATGAGTTGCATATAAGAATGTTAAATAAAAATAATGCTAATGATTCACTATTTAATGTATTGAAGATATTTATAAAGAAACAACAAAATTAGGTATTTCTTATAAACTTTTAGGGCTGACTGCTGTGCTTTTAAGAGGAAAATCTGGACCAATTCCCCAGCCAAATGTATAATCGGGATGGCAGGTAGACCTAAAGTTATAAAACCACCATCTAAGTGACAAATCTGTGATAGCACGCTCCCCAAAGAAACCCTCGTCCTACTCAGACTTCATCATAATAAAGTCATCAATGATTTGCATCTAGGCAGTGTCAGGGAATTTAAACTTATCTGTAATCCTCAGAGCAACCTCACTAGTAGCTGCATTGCCATTTTGTGGATTAAGATGGTCATAAAAAGCCGAGAAAAACTGACGAGATTACTGAGTGTCTTTCAATGGAATGCTGGGTGTTGTGGCGCAGATTTTTCATCGTTAGCATTTGTTAATTATAGAGAACAGTAATGCAAATGGTTCTTGTCCATAGAAATGCAAATAATTTTTATATAGAGATGCAATTGATTTCCTTCCTGTAGAAAGTAGATTTCAAATAGCACATTATAGCACTCATAGGCATTAATCTATTGATACACTCGTTTCAGTGCCTAATAGGCAATAATAGCAAACTTGGTTCAGCTTTGTGTCTACTAGCAACTTTATTTTAGCCTTCATGATTGCTTCTATCTGTTTAGATTCTCCTTTGAATTAGTGGAACACGTTTTTGACTCTTTCTTTAATTAACGAGTTAAAATCAGGATTTTCAAGGTAGCCTGGGTGGTTTAAGGGAGGCACAAGGCTCCAGAGAACCTCCAGTCATCTTCACAGATTAAAGGCTCACTGCATCTGTCCGATTTGTCTTGCTTTTCTGTGGACCGCGAGCTCATATTTGCGAAGAAAAGTAGATAGAAGAGCAGGCCTAGACATGTGTTCCCCTGCAGTGTCTTACTGCCACATTTGTCTCCTTGCATGTGTGTGAGGAGATGGCGTTGGATTATAACAAGGGTTATTGAATTCTTCAAACCACTGATAGGGCTCTTGTCCTGTTTGGCAAGTGAGATTAGTGGACAGGAGGCAAAAAGCTGGAAGACATTTGCATTCATTGCTTTCTTCTTACTGAAGAATTGTGTACCACATTATCTAATCACTGCTTTGTAACTAATTTACACCCAATTACCGTGTCTACTTTAGAAGAACTGTTGGAGTGAAGGGAATAGTTAGGTATTGTTTGTAGCTAAGTGTATTTAATGGTGTGCATATATGTGGGTCTGTGTGTAATTTAGTGTATATAGATAAACCATCTGCATTCCTTGACAGGAGGTTACTACCTGGAGGGATTGAGGTGAGTTAGAACAGCCGCCTGAGTGGTGCATTGGTGGTTTGCCAGAGGCCAAACCTCAAAGTCTCTAGCAGATCTTGGGCAGAGATTAGAGGCTTCTTGATTTACTACAGATAATATCTCTCTTCAAGTTACAAATTGAGTATGTTCTATGTACTTGTACGTGTGTGTATGTGTAAATATATATATTAATCCTGACACTTCAGAAATGCTTATAAAATATTTTAAGTCCTTTCCAGTGTCCTATAAAAGTGAGGAAATGTCTGAATGTCCATCTTACAGTTCTATATATTCTTAATACCTGATTTCAAGGAAAGACAGCCTTTGTTCATGAAATCAATGAAAGGAGCCAGGGAAGGGATATTTGATTCCAGTAGAGCTAAGTTTCAGGATGTTCACAGTCATTCCCATCATCTGGATCCAGCCCTGGTGCTTCCTGCATCGGAGAGGAGGAGCCCGGGAAGGCAGAGGGGGCCCAGGTCAGGGGGTGTTCTGTCCTTCAGCCAGAGCTGGAAAGGGGCTTCCCAGAGAACCGCAGGCCCACAGTTTTAGTTTGACACTGGTGTGCTGAGAGATCACAGCAGAGGCCGTGACTCACTGCCTTTGCAGGGAGCTGGGGCCCAGCGTGGTGACCACAGTGTACGACTGGGTGATTCTTCCTCCTCCCTGAACACATGGCTTCCCTGGTCTCTTCAGGTCTCCATTAACTTCCTCATCACTTCTCTTCCATGGCCCACTCAGCACCCCCTCCCCCATATCTGCTGGCCTCTGGCACCTTAGGAGTCTTTGTCTGGACTCCGGCAGGGCAGACCAGCTGGGACAGAGCTTCTCTTGCTCACACCATCTGACTCTGCAGGGCTCCGGTTAACAGTCTCCTGCGACCATCATCTGCCACCACGTTCCCTGTGGTCCCGGGGCCCAAGATGCAGTAAGTAGTAGTGTAACCTAATCCGTGCCCGAGGCAAGGCCTGCCTGATGCTGAGCCAGAGTTGGGGAGAGCGAGAGCCGGCCCTGCCACCTGGACTCAGGCACACCGTGCTTCACAGCCCGCCCTTGCCCTGTCACGGGCGCCCCTTGGCTCAGCCTGGCATCCCTGTGGCCATGGGCAGAGGTCATAACTGACCCTTTTCTTGAAACCATGGGGGCAGTGATAGAGGGAAAGTTTCCAGAAGAAGGGGCCCCAGTCCCCATGCGGACTGGGGTCTGATCACTGCAGGGACTCAGGAGACAGGGTGGGCCCCCAGCAGGGTGCTTCCGGTGGGCAGGAGAGCGCTCAGATTCCGGAGGTGTATGCAAAGTGGAGCTGACAGTTTTTCCTGACGGATGGGCGGAATGTGAGAGAAAAGAGGGTTAAATATGACCCCCAGCTTCCAAACCACAGTTCTTGCCTGGATCTCTGGTCTTCTCTGACTGTGCCCAGACTCATGGCCCCTTTCAGCTTGGTGCGTTCTTGATTCTCGGTGAGTTGCGCGCTCCAGACTCTCTTCAAGTTATCTTCTTCCCCCGGTTCTCTCTCTGCTGGCCTTTCAGGTCGTGTTCCTACTCACACAGGTGTCCCCGTTGGTACCCTCCCGTGTAGTTTGGCCAGAACATAATATAATAGTGTGGAAGTGAATACTGCCTACCATCTCTTGTTGAAAACAACCATGGACAGGTGGCCTTCTTTGCTAATTCTCTAGCTTAAAGCTTTGGCAGTGAACGTGATTGGGCAACCTGAACACTGTGGTATAACCGGAGGTCTCAGGCCTGCCGGTCTCAGTGAATGAGTCACTGTGGTTTCGAGCCCTGTCTGTAAAACAGGGTCGTGTCATTCAGCTTTAGATGAGAATCAACCAATGGAGATGGTGGACATAGTTAAGCATTTACCATATTAAGTTCTTTGCATATTAAATAGTTTTTAAATTTTATGTTATATTTACCCTATATTAAGCTCTTTTTATATTTAAAAATATTGCCCTGGCTGATTGGGCTCAGCAGTTAGAGCGTCGGCCCGTGAACCAAGTGGACTGAAGGGCCTCAGGTTTGATTCCTAGTCAAGGGCACATACCAGAGTTGCAGGTTCAATCACCATCCCCTGTCGGGATCGTGCAGGAGGCAACCAGTCGATGTGTCTCTCTCACACTGATGTCTCTCTCTTTCTTCCTTCCACTCTATCTAAAAAAATCAATGGAAAAATATCCTTGGGTGAGGATTAACCAAGGACTAAAAAAATAGGAGTATATTTTAAAAAATATATATTTTATTATATTTAAGCCCTATCTTAAGTTCTTTTTACATATTTTTCTCATTTAATCCTCATAAGGTAGGTTCACCTACCTATTCCTTTCATTTTAGAGATGAAGAAACAGATTTTGTTCGGTTAAGTGTTGTTTGTGTACAAGACCACACAGCTGGTACCTGGTAGGGCTGGCGTTGAAATCCGGGTCTGCTAGACCGGGCTCCATGCCCTCAACCACTTCACCTGCGGTTCTGCCCGTGTGATCACTGCACCCTGGGTGTGCTTGTTCAGTGTGGACTCCCAGATCCCACTCTCCAGACCCACTGACTCAGACTGAGGCTGGGCCTGGAAATCTGGACCTTAACAGGAGCTCTGGGTGATACTTGAGCAGCCTAAGGTGTGACAGCCACTGTACCTTCTTTATTGCTGCTAAACAATTATAAAGCATCTGCTCATGTGTACTTAGTTCTGACAAATGCTCTAAGGTTATGTGCAGGAGTCCAAATTCTAGCATTTCATCAATAAAAACAAGCAGGTGGGTTATTTCAAGTCCATTACTGCATCAATGTAATAAATGTATAAGATCCAGAATGCATTAGTAGAGAATAATTTAAGTGGAAAGGGGTCTTTTTAAAAGTTGGATATTAAGCAGTTAATATCATTGGGAAGGCTTAAAAAACAGTCTTTAGATTGAGCATCCAGAAATGATTCCCCAAATCACAGCACAGAACGAGGCCACCGAAGCGTTTGCTGTCGCCACGGCCAGGCAGGTGCTTTCTTGTGAGGCGAGCAGAGGATCGAGGTGGTGTGTCCAGGGAGTGAACAGACACCCCTGAGGGTGATCAGCAAGGAATAGTTCAGGGAACTCAGACACAGAAAGAGAAGACAGAGAAGTAGGGAGTTTAGAAGACAGGAGTGGCCAACATTAAATACAGTAAGAGGGCCAGTTTTATTTTTTTTAAAAAGACAAGATGAATAAGTATTGTTGACTTTGACCCTAGGTGACCCTCGCAAGGTCAGTCAGTGAGTTCTCCCAGCACAGTTTCTGGAGACTTGTGGAGACAGAAGCCAGGTGGGTGGGATAAACAGTAACTGGAAAAGGAACGAGGGAAGCAGCATGGACTGCCTCTCAAGAAGCTGAGTTGAAATGGAAAGGAAATAACACTGTCTCCACAAGATCTGGGGAGTGTTTATTTGTTGTCATTTTGTTCATTAGGTCAAGGGAAGCTTAAGTCTCGTAATAGCAGAGAGGTCTTAGTGGGAAGAGATGAAGGACTAGGTGGAGAGTGAGAAGAAGACAGCTCATCTAGTGACTGGAGGAAAGGAGGTGACAGTGGTACAGATACAGTCACCACGGTTGTGAATGGCGGAGCTGTAATTGTAGGTCCTAATTGTCTTCCTGATGTACATGAGGTTGCCTGCTGAGAAGGAAGGACTGGATATTGGATGTGGAGCTGTGAAAAGGTACAGGTTTGAAACTATGGTTTTTGATGACAAGTGAAGGAATGTCAGTCAGGGGTATTGTCAGCCCAGATAACACTGGGAATTGGAAATTCAAAGTAGGGCCAAGCTGCCCAAATGGTGTACACTTCAGGATTCCGCAGCTGTGGACCAGCAGTGGCGAGGCAGGTCGTGGGGCCGCTGCTGGCCGACACTGACATGCAGTTCACGTCTCCTAAGCTAATGTGATGTTTCCTGTTTGTGTGGCAGGTGCCTCAGTCAGGAACCCTGAAGTTGTCCCACTTACAGGAAGGAAGGTACACCTTCCAGCTCACTGTGACAGACACTGCTGGGCAGAGGAACTCCGACAATGTCTCGGTGACCGTGCTTCCCTCGGCCTTCTCCACAGGAGGTGAGAAGAAAGTTTTCCCATCCTGTTCTCAACAGCCAGCACACCGGACTATTTACAGAAGGATGTTATCAGATTGGCATTTTATATTCTAACTATGTATCTGAAAAGGAAACCTCGGTACCCAAGTTTACTGAGTAAACTGTTAAATGAATTGGAAAAAGAAAAAAAAGAAAGAAATGAAGGAAGGAGATTCTAGAATCTTAAGGACTTGGCCTTCCCGGGGGATCAGAGCACAAGCAGCAGTCAGACTTTGGGCGGCTGACTGCAAGGAAAGCGGGGTGAGTGGACACGGACAGGCCGGGCACCACGCGGCTGCCCAATGCGGCTCTGGGAGGCAGGGACGTCGGTGGGGCCATCTGCCCAGCCCCAATTCGAGCAGGCCCTGTTAATTCATTGCAGCTGCCCAGGGTCTGATACTTAGAACATGTTTGGGTGCCTTCATGTGCATCGGAAACGTGGCACTGGCTCCAGCCAGTCACTCCCCAGCACAGGACTGCTGGGCCCAGAGGGCTCTGCTCCTGGGTGGAGTGCTGGCCTGGAAGAAAAGTGCTGATGGGAAGAAGACAGAGAAACCTTGTCACCCCTACAGAATTTAGAAAAGGATTGCCTTGTACAGCTGAGGTGCGTGGGAGGGAGAAAGGCCTGTGCTGATCCAAGTAGACGGCTAACACTTCACCTGCCACTTGTTTGCCCTGCTGTATTTACTCAGGCCAATTTGTACAATGGTACTTTATGCAAAGGTAAATTGTACATTGCTGGCCTTTCTCCAACATGATGATAAAATGTATTTGAAGTGGCAGACAGTTATGTGAATGACTTGATTGCTGAAAGGCCTCTTGGGTATAGGCCTAATGTAACTTTATACATAAAATAATGCTATAATACTACCTGCACTCTTGAGTCACTCAGTAGTTAGATTGAAATAACATACTATGAATTAAAGTTAATAAAACATCATGTAGAGACATTGAAAACCAGAGATGGGGATCAAGAGGTATTTCTCATTAATGACCCAGCTGAGTGGTAACCAAGGGTGGCACCTTCTGGGGTAAACAGACAAGCACATACCCCTGCTTATGTGAAAATAACTTGGTACAGTTTTGGATAGAGGGGATATATGTTTTCAAGCTTTGGGGAAAATAATCTATTTAAAGAGCAAGCCAGCAAACACTTCCAGTAAGATCTAGATCGATGGTCTCCAAATTAGGATCCTCCACAAATGGTGAAGACATTTTTAAGATGGAAAAGAAGACACCAGGATTTATGTTTTGTGAATTTTTAATCATCTTCTTTAAGTTCTCAGTATATTTTATAACATGCATATGTTAGCACAGTGGTACATGCATGCTATTTATTAGGAGATTTGTGTTCACCAATATATGATTGATCAGGATGCATGGTCACAAAGGTTTAGAGATCACCAATCCAGAAATTATAAATATGGATCTATCTTCAAAACTACCAAGGAAGAAGTAAAATCTTGACATATTTAGTATTTTTACACGATGAACTTGAAACTGTGAGCAGTAGTGTGTCCTGCTTGGTGTCCACTGAGTCCCCTTCCCTTTTCCTCCTAGCTCCTTCCCCACGGGAAATGCAGATTCTTTCTAGGCCCAAGTCCACAGTCACAACTGCGGGCTTTTGCTTCCCTTTCTTTCTCGGGAGCTTTAACCACCATTTCCTTTCTTTACCCTCTTCTTCCTCTGGCATCAATTTATCTTCCAGTTTCCTTGCAGTCAGATGGACTCCTTTGCCAGTCTTTAAATTTAAATGCTTCCCAGTGGAGCCAGGATTTCCCTTGAGCATGTATACTATGCTCAGCCATTAGTCTCAGTGGAATATCAATTACCAGTCCCATGGCCTGAGAGAATGTCTAATCCATCTTTTCCCTGGAAAATTGTGGAGCTCCTTGGGATATGCTTCTAGCCCGAAATCTTTCTTCTACATTCCCAGTGTCAGTAATTCCCCCAGTTGTTATGTAGCTAAATCTAGTAGAGTTGGCTTACTCTGTAGTTAGGGAATGCCTTTTAAGAAAATACATTGTAGTTCCTGTGAATTGTACTGTGGATTAAAAAACTCCTAAGAGCTCCAAAAAGGAAACAATTTCATTATTTAAAGAATAGTATGTAAAGATTCCGTTATTCCATACAGCACCAAGGAGGTGTGGTAATAAACAAATAGAGTTCAATAGTAAAAAGTTAATCTCAGTAAAAATCATTATGTAAGAAACTCGAATGTAAGTCATAGCGTGTATACAACGGTGTGTCGAACCCACGTGCCATGCAGGGGTATAGCCGAGGAGATGATGGGAGGAAGGAGCCAAGCAGGGTGAGACACCTGAGTGAGGAAGCCAGAGCTGCTGCTGCTGCTCTTGTCTCACCTCGTGGGCAGTGTTGGCTTGGAGAACAGTGCTAAAATGAAGCCCAAGGTGATTCCTGAGAATCAAGTCAGGGGGCCCCAGAAGAGACCCCACCCCCCAACTTTTCTAGAACCCATTGCTCCAGCTTTGTTAAGCGTTTTTTTACTATCTGGATCTCTCCGCCCACATGCATTTCATCGTACGTTTAGTCTCTGTTCATCTTGATACGGTGCAAGTCAACTGTCCTGCACTCTTGTGACCTGAGTCTTGTTTTAAACAGGATGCTTGAAGGTTTGCTCACGCTACCACTTCTTTTGTGACAACGGCTGTTGCATTGACATCACACTGGCTTGCGATGGAGTAGAGCAGTGTCCTGACGGATCTGATGAAGCTTTCTGTCAAAATTGTGAGTCAGCTGCATGGCGTTAGGGGGTATTCTCATAATGACGTGCAGAGTCAGTATAGCTTCTTTTCTGCCCAGTGTCAGGTATAACTTTATGTGAACAAGCTTTGTCTTAAATTAAGCAGCATTTATTATGAGTGTCTAATGCTAGTTACAAAGTAGGTCAAATGTTTTATATTGCTTACATTTTTTAAAAATTATTTTCAGTTTTCCAAAAGATTCTTTACCATCCTAAAAATGCTCTATAATACCTGCTTTTAAAAAACAGAAGTGAGTTAACATTTGCTTTTGATATATTTTTATTTATTTATTTTTTTAGAAAATTTATGACATACCAGGCAGGGTATGGCTAAATTATCTGCAAAGCAATCTTAGGTTGCATACATAAACTTGCACCATGGTAAAGAAGGAAAGTTGCAGAATGTTAATGAAGTGCTGGCTTGAGGAAGGATGAAGAATCTTATAGCCTACGATTTATAAGTTTTGTCTTTGTCAATTTATATGTGATGTTTAGAAAGTTAATTATTGGAAGGATAGAGATTACTCATTTGAAAACAAGAGAAAGAAGGTTTTTATGGGGCTCTGATATGTCCTAAATAGATAGATGATTATTTCCAAATATCCATGACTTCAAATCTACTGAAAATTTAGTGGTTGTAGTTAAAGTTCAGAAAAGAAACTCAACAACTAACTAGCCCTTCACACTTCAGTGAGCCTTGACCGGAAGACGGTAACTCACAGGGCAACTGCCCAGCCCAGAACCACAGGACCGAGCCAGGAGGCAGCAGGGGGCTTTTGGGGGAAGTCTCAGAAAGCCACCACCCCAGACTGGCCACCTGCATTACCAGATACGGAGAAGAGCAATCATTCCACCTTTTGGGGACCAAAGATTCAAACTGATCCTGTGATACCAGGTAAGGACTTGAGACAAGTTCTTCACAGTCTCATTTTCTATAGTGACACTTGGCTCAAAATTAAAGTTATGTTTGAAGAGTGTTAAATATCTTAAAAGAAAGAGAATTAAAATGAAGAATTTGGACAAAATAAAAAATAAAACCTGACATTTGCACTGATTAGTTATAATAAGAAACACGAACTAAATATATTCATACCTAGATGCACACTCCAGAGGTATTAATAAACTTATTAGTAAATAATTTAGAGTTAGAAAGTTTTAACACCCATATTAAGGAAACTATGCCCTAAGTGTTAAATTTTAGGTTATTTTGAGATGAAACAGTATAACCCCTATGTATTCCTATAAATCCTCTTGACACTAAGCAAGTGAAAGTAAATATGTCATGTTGAAATGGTTGCATGTACTAGTTAGTGATTCAGTGTTATGCCTCCAATTTAACCAAATCTGTAAATTTTAAGTTTTAAAATAAGGCTAATAAGATTTTTTTTGTTAATCCTCACCAAGGATATTTTTTCCATTGATTTTTAGAGAGAGTGGAGGGGAGGGATTAGGGAAAGAGAGAGTGAGAGAAACATCAGTGTGAGAGAGACACATTGATTGATGGCCTCCTGCACCCACCCCGATTTAACCTGAAACCCAGACACATGCCCTGGATCAGGAATCATACTCTAGACCCTTTAGTGTGCAGGTCAATGCTCTAACTACTGAGGCACACCGGACAGGGCAAGGCTAATAAGATTTTAGGTGCATTTACACTGTTGAAGCATTACAGGATTATATCACTTTAAATTTTCCTCCCTCCCTTCCTTTTTCTTCAGATAGAGTAGGAAGGAGAGAGAGGAAGAGAGAGAGATATCCATGTGAGAGAGACACATAGACTTTCTGCCTCCTGCACTACCCCCACCAGCGCCAGGAACCGAACTGCAATTGAGGCATGTGCCCTTGACCAGAATTGAACCCGAGACTCTTTGGTCCACAGGCCGATGCTCTAAATGCTGAGCCAAACTGGCCAGGGCTTACATTTCTTTTTTACACATTTATGTTTGCATGATTGTATGACATATGAGACCAGAAATATCACATTTATATATGCTTTTGTGAATATTTTTTCATTACTCAAACTCTATTAAATTGAAATGTCACTATTTTAATAACTTTATGAAAAATTTTTGTTGATTGCAGAGGATGTAGAAGAGATGCAAATAATAAAAAAGGAAATTAAAATATTACCCTTTACTACAAAGAAATTTTAATGTTTTGATCCATTTGCTTCCAATAATTTGTTCATCTACTTTGTAGATTTTAAATGCCTTCCTACAAATATGTTTGCAAAACTTTCATACAGGGTCTTTATTTTTTATTTTTTAGAATTAAATGTTTCTTTTATTTATATTTTTTACAAAGGGAGAAGGAGAGAGAGAAACATCTATCAGCTGCCTCTTGCACACCCCCTACTGGGGATCAAGCCCATAGTCTGGGCATCTACCCTGACCAGGAATTGAACCACTGACCTCCTGGTGCATGGGAGGACACTGGCAAGCAGGGCCTTTTATTCTGAGTTCAGGTTAAGTACACTTCAGATGTTTTGGTCAATTTCTTGTTGATACTGCACCTAATGGGCAAATCAGTCATTCCAGCCCTGCCTAGTCCATTTTTTCTACATGAAGAGGACAGCTACCTAAGAAACCAAGTCAGAGGAGACCAGTTGTTTTTGGCAGGAGGGATGAAGAGCTGATGGAGAGAACTGAGTTTTTAGAAGCCAGGGTGGATGAACTCTTGCTATGTCACTGTGGTAGAGAGGCTTATGTGAGCATGAATGAATTCAATAAAGACAGAATGGAGATCAGAGGCCAGGTCTTCTGAATTTAGCTCTGCCTTTAGAACCTTGAGAGATAAGTTGCTTCATATCTCTAGACCTTAGTTTCCACATCAGTTAATAAGAGATTTCAACCAGATGACCTAAGGCCCCATGCAGCACTGAGAGTATTTCCAGTATGCTAAGTAGCTGAGGTTCATACAGCACTCTGTCAGCCTCATCCATGCTGGATATTGCTCAGTTGATCCTGTCACTGGAAAGGGCCTTGGATCATGGCAGTCTGCCCAAGCACAGTCTGGAATATGTGAGTTCTTGACTTCACGCAGGAAAGATTTAACAATATGCATCCAGGTCATTTTGAGAGTATGCTAATTAAAGCTGGGGACAGTGAAACAAAGGAAAGGCTTAAAATAGAAGCAACAGGAGTGAGTCTAGACTGGGCTGCCTAGACTCAGAGACAGGTTCAGGGGTTAGCTCTGGACAACTTGCCACTGCCCGCTGCCCCCCTGGTTGCAAGTCTCATGGGGACCCTTGGAGCTTAGGAGAAAGAAAGCAAAAGGGGGGCATGGAGTTGCTCAAGAGAGAGTGCACACTGGGTCCTAAGTCTTAAGGTTTTTATCTGTTTTCTAAAGGTGGGAGTTTTAGGATAGGTCTCGGGAAGGGTCTCAACAGTATATGCAACAGCTTTCCAGGTGTGTCCTTTAATATGCTGATGAATCAAAATGAGCATATAGGGGAGTTTGGGATTATTCTGCGGTCAACTTCACTGCTTTCCATTTATCTTGGCTTTGTCTGGCTCTAATTGTTTTTTGCTGTTTATTCCCCTGACTGCATCTGTGCTGGGGTTTGGCTGGCACTCATGGCACCAGCTGGGTCTCTGTTCTCTCCCCCTGACCAGGGTGATTTAAGCTACTCACTCTCAGGGTAGGGAGGAGAGGTGTAAACCATCTGCTCCTAAGTGTCCTTAGTTAAGGAAGATAAGATCTTGTGATTTATTAGCAGGCAGTTAATTGCTTGGCCTCCTTTAACTATTTGTCTTAGTTTCCTTTGTTCTACTTGCTAAGGAATTTCCTAGCTTCTCACTGTCCTCCCTCAGTGCTAACACCTGGGGAGTGAGGACTCAGCCTCAGAATCATTTTGAAAATAATGTTGCAGGCTGCCACTACCAGTAGATGGAAGTTGCCACCCAATTTGAATATAGTTGCAATCTCTGTTTTTTGTATTAAGCCTTTGACTTGGGCTATGAAGATATAAGGAATGGAGTTTGAGATTCAGAGAGACTGAATATATAGTTATTTATAATATAGATAGTTTTTTCCTAATTATTAAAGTGATATGTGTTTACTATAGAAAATTTGGAGAATACAGGAAAACATTTAACTTATCCAGCAAACCTCACCATTAACATTGTTACATTTTCTTCTGGTTACTTTTATTTATACACGTACAGCACACATTTATTTACTTTTAACAAAATTAGGATATTACTTTTACAAAACTTTCCTTTTTCTTACGAGCATTTTTATGTGTTATTAAATATCCATCAAAAACATAATGTTTGAAAATCCAGGGTAAAGAAAGTGGGAAGAGAAGAACAGAACTTTGAAAATGTTAGAAAGGGCCCTCACAGCACGTGCCTTTTGTTTAGACAGCGCCCCCCACCCCCCTCTGTTATCCCTAAGACCACCAGACAAGAATCCCCAGCTTCCAATTTCATGTGAGTTTAAATGATGTATAGTCAGCATAACAAATAGATTAAAAAATACAATATTGTTGCCCTGGCCAGTTTGGCTCAGCAGTTAGAGCATTAGCCTGCTGACCAGAGAGTCTCAGGTTCAATTCTGGTCAAGGGCACGTACCTTGGTTGCGGCTTGTCCCGGGCCCTGCTCAAGGTCGTGTGGGAGGCAACCAGTAGATGTGTCCCTCTCACATCGATGTTTCTCTCTCCCTCCCTCCCTCCCTCCCTCCCTCTCACTCTCTCTGAAGATAAAATAGAAAAATATCCTCGGGTGAGAATTAAAAATATATATATATAGTATGGTTCATGACCTATGCCTGAGTTTTACAAGGATCATCAGCTAGTACAATAAATATGGACAAGTTCAATTTTCCACTGCCTCCTTCCCCCACAGATATGTTGTAAGGATAAAAAAAAAAACTTAATTCATTGTAAACTTGCTGAAGCACTAATAAGATGAATACTAATAATGTTGTACAGAAAGTAATGAGAGGCAGTTTTTCACCTATCACGTTGGCAAAGGTGAAAAGGTTTAATAATGAGTGCATATGAGAGCCCAGAGAAGCAGGTCCCATGCACTTCCGGTGGGATTAACTTTACAGTTTTCCAGTATCCAGGTGATTTGTGATCCTTAGTAAGTTCATGTGTATTTCTTAGTACAATTACCAAATAAATTTATATGGGCCCTTTATTTTTATTTTTTTTATCCTTATCCGAGGACATTTTTGCATATATCTTCAGTTAGAGTGGGAAGGAGAGAGGGAGGGAGAGAAAGAGAAATATCGATGTGTCTCTCTCACATCAACTGGTTGCCACCCACATGATCCCAACCAGGGCCAGTGACAAACTACAACCGAGGTACGTGCCCTTAGCGGGAACCAAACCCAGGTCTCTCTGGACCGCAGACCGACACTCTAACCGCTGAGCCAAACCGGCCAGGGCTATGTGGGCCCTTTAAATAGTCTTATTTCAGTTGCAGGTGTAATGAACATTTCTGTTGATGACATATGAGTAAAGAATTTAAATTTAGATCTACACAGAAAAAATTTTTTTTGTTTCTCTGTGAAATTTCTCATTTCAGCAGATCATTTCTAATTCATGGACATTAATTAAGCATTTTATTTCCCAAAAATCACACTTGAAATCTCACCACAGCATGAGGGTAACTTTACTAACTCAATTATTATGTTGTCAGTGTAATGAGCACACAAATATACAGATTACTAGAAAGGAAAGGATAGAATGGCATGGCCATTACTCATCAGAACCTGGGATGAGTGTTCTAAGATTTGTCTTTCTTAGGATCTCCTCTCAGTAGTATAGCAGAATAGAATGGTTAAACAAGGAACACTGTGTCATTGAATCAGAAGTGCTTGTTTCCACCACCAAGCAGTTAGACACACCTGAATTTAAACCCAGCCTGGTGGCCCACTTACTGCTCGAATGGACCTGAGCAAGTGCTGAGCCTCTCTGAGTGTAACCTGAAAACAGGATCAGGGTGAGAAAATAGCATGTCTGTGTGCCTTTTGTATACTGTATACAGTCGGCCCTCATTTATTGCGGTTAATCAGTTCCAGACTCTACCCGCAATAAATGAATTTCCGCGAAGTAGGATTCTTTATTTATACACTGTCCTCCCTGCCACTTCTCGCTTCTTCGCAGCTTCACTCTGTCATGGTTTTTTTGGGGAAAAAAAGTCGAAGCACAAAGTAGTGAGGGATAACTGTACTCTGTTCATTTTTATAAAGAAAAAGCTTTCCGGACTGTTTCTGCTTCCTCTTGTGTGAAGTTCAGAGACTACCGTTGACTCCTCCGCAGAGTTCTTTCCTTCCTTGTCTGGGGTGGGGGGGAGTCCTGGCACCAAGTGCTTGTTCCCCTTTCTGTGTCCTCTGGTTTTGTGTCAGCCACACTCTGTTCTGTTCGGTCACATGAGTTATCTAGTGTGTTAGTGTCAAGCGTAGGCCTGTGTTTATTAGAGAAATAGATGCTGTAGTTTCATGTCTGTTTTCTAAAGTTTTTGATGTACCCACAATATGTGTTCTACTTATTTCCCACAGATAGTGGTTCCTCGGGGAAGAACAGAAAAGAGGAAAGTTACATTTTTGAGTCCAAGAGCAATCGAGGAGGAGGGGAACACCCGGCCCCAGAAATAGGTAAATACATACCTTGGAAATTCATTGCAGAGTATAAAGAGGGGCGGGATCACATACCCTCTAGTTGAGGATATTGGATAAAGCTTTAGCTCAGACAAGGGCAGTGATCTGTGGGTCAGCACTGTATTCTCATCTCTTATGTCAAGCTTCACCTCCGTGCTCTCATACTGGTCACCTCACATCTTTGGACCTCAGCTTCCTCTTTTATAAGTTGATTGGACTATCACTGCAGTGCCCTCCAGGTGTAACTTCTGTGAAAAGAATAATATTCATGGCATAGTGGTGAAGAGCACAGTCCCTAGAATCAGATGCCAAGGTTCAGATCCTCACTACACCACTGAACTCTGTGACCTTGGGCAGGTTCTCTCTCTGGATCTCAATTTCCTCATGAGTAAGACGGAGGTAATACCTGTACCTGTCCCCACAGAGCTGTTAGGGAGAATAAATGGACAGTTAGTATAAAGCATTTAGCACAGTGCTTGGCTCATACAATGCTCCGTGTAAGTGATAGTTATTATGATTGAGTTATTTATGATACAAGAGTAAAGGTCTTAAGAGTACCCTGTTCTCTCTCCAAGTGTTCTGGTGACAAAGACAGAAGACAATAGGAACAGGGAAACTGTGTAGGAGGTAGAGGGAATATTTAGTAAATGGAAGAAAAGTATCATAATTCCACAATTTTGGTTGTTTTTAACTAGAAAGAAAACACTTCCTACATAGTCCTGTAGAAATTCAGACTTTAGTCTTAAATCCCACAAACTAATTAGTGAAAATTTAGGAGAACCAGATATGATTCTTAAATTTTAGATCTAAATTGAGAAAACTTTGTTTTTACCTTAGAGTGTTCTTTGTAATATCTGGACAATTTTAAAGTATAACCTTTGAACAATAGATGGCCAAAATATTCCAGATATCAAACACCTAGATGTTGCCCAGTCTGCTGTCCTGCGGGACTTAGCCTGTCCCAATATATTTGAATAAAAGCCACTCCCAGTGATACGAATAGAATACCCCATTCACCCCCTTAGCTGGTTTTTGAGAAAACCATCATGATGTAGTTTAAAGAAAATTTAGAAAATTTTAAATCGCAGAGTGCTCAAACTAAAAACATTGAGAAGTACTTAGAAGTTGAGGATCATTTTCAGTATTCTAGCAAGTACTTTATGGGAGATTTCATTTTCCTTGTCATCAAAGCATTAAACAGGAATCAGATTTGACAGTTCAGCAACCTCATATCTGACTTAGCAAATAGAAAATTCCCCTAGATTGTATGTCTGTGTTATTGTTACCCTCTACCCTAAACACTGGTGCCCATCCTTAAATAAGCCATACACGTTTAGAACGGCACTCTTTAATCATCCTCCTGCCCTGAGCAAGCAGAGGTTGACCCAGGTCTGTCTTTTGTCCTATTCTTTTGTACCATTTCCAACCTCCATGGCTAGTACAGGACAGTGCAGGGGAACTGATCCTTCGTGGCCCGTAGCCGTTTCAAAACTGCCTTCTCGGGGCGGCCATTAGATACTAGTAGCTGAAGGCCAAGCTGTCAGCATGGAGAAATTCTGCAGTGATTCTTTTTTTGTTTGTTTTAATAAATCATTTTTTAAATAATTTATTTTAAAGAGAGGAAGGGAAAGAAGAGAGAGAGAGAGAGAAACATCGATTGGTTGCCTCCTGTGTGCACCCTGACCGGGGACTGAAGTCACAACCTCGGTATATGCCTTGATTGGGAATCGAACCCACAACCTTTTGTTGTATGGGGCGATGCTCCAACCAACTGAGCCACGCTGGCCAGGGCTCTGCAGTGATTCTTGAGTCCTCCAGAGGGGCTGGTGGTGTGTGGAATGCATGAGCCAGCTCTAGAGTCAAATTCTAGACCGTTGGTTTATCACAGATTTTTATTTTTCACAGTTCTCTATGGGAATACCAGCCTCACCCAAAACTTTGTTTGGTACCCAACAGTCACTAACACAACTTCTACATCCCCTCCTCCTGTGCCCAGACACTTCCAGACAGAATCATCAGGAATTTTACCTGGGATTCTACAAATACACCATTAGTAGTGTATGTCCTTGGCTCCAGGTCCTCATCTTGAAGAGGAGGCCACTGTACCTGGAACCAATCTATCAGGAGTAAACTTCCTCAGCTGCCTGCCCCCAAATGTAAACCCTGGTCTGTTTGCACCCACACTCTCTTCCTTTCCTCCAGTACTAAAGGAGATGTCCCCTCTCCCAAGGCCGGCCTCTCCCCCAACCTTGATGCAGCCCCTTTATCTTCTCAGGCACATTTCTCCCTCATTTATTAACCCTCCTGTGGTTTTAATCTGTTCCTCTACTGGCTCATTCCCCCAGCAGCTGCAGACACATTCAGATCTCTCTCGATACCATGGTGTCCCTCAGTCATCAATCTCCCTATGAATGAATTTCCAATGCTAAGCCCCATGGCCTCCCTAGGCTTCACCTCACACGACCTCCTTAGCATCTGATCCAGCTGAGCACTTTTCTCTGGAAACAGTCTCTTCCTCCTGCTTCCCTGACTCCCTTCTCTCTTGGTTGGCCTACCATTTCTCCAAACTTTTCCCTTCTTTTTGTTCCTGTCCTTGTGCCTGCCCTCTTAAATAGTGGGGTTTCTTAGGGCCTTGTTCCTGACCCCCCTTTCTTCCTTTCTCTCTGGCAATCTCTCACCCACTTTCGTGGCTGCAACAACCACCTTGATGGTAAAGGCTCCCACATATTTAGGCTCAAATAATCCATGAGCCTAATAGAAAACGCTACCTGGGACACCTCTTGGAATCTCAATTAGAAAATGTCAAAATAGCCCTGGCCGGTTTGGCTCAGTGGTTAGAGCGTCGGCCTGCGGTCCGAAGAGACCCGGGTTCGGTTCCCGCTAAGGGCACGTACTTGTCCCTGGCCCTGGTTGGTCGTGCGGGTGGCAGCCACTCGATGTGTCCCTTTCACATCGATGTTTCTCTCTCTCTCCCTTTCTCTCCCTCCCACTCTATCTGTACAAAAATTGGAAAAAAAAAAAGAAAATGTCAAAATATAAACTTATTTCCCCTGCCCACCCACAAAGCTCCATCTACAACCAGATCACTCAAGCTGACTCCATGAACCACACACACGGACCACTGCTCTTACACCTGTACTTCTTATTGCAGGTCTTCACTTAAACGTCTGTCTACCCAGACTGAGTACTGAAATAATACCCCTTTACCTTTTGGAGCAGTACCGGACCATAGTGGTCCTGGAGCTGCACTGTCTGGGGCTGTGTCCTAGCTCCACCACTTACCATACAGACTTAGATGAGTCATTTAATTCCCCATGCCTTGGTTTCCTCTTTTGTAAAATGGGATAAGAATTCTACAAACTCGTGGTGGTTGTGAGAGTTAAATGAGTGAAGCAACAGAACACTAAGGACAGTCGTTGGCATTAGCTTATTATCTTTGATGACCAGCACTTAGCTCAGTGTTGGGTACCTGGCTGTTAATTAATGCAGAAGGAATGAATAAATGAATGAACGAAAAGGTTACAGAGTCGGCTTATGCAATGGAGACTTTTGTTCCTGTAGTTCCACTATCTCATCTGCAAGACTGAGCTGACTACAGAGTAGGTCAGACTGAAAATAGAGCCTCCTGAGCTTGACAAGACTGATCTGGTTTTCTACAGGTTTGACTTTTTTAGATTCCATATATAAGTGATGTCATATAGTAATGGTCTAACTGTCTTATCTCACTTAGTAAATAAGCCATCAAGAGCTAATGCATGGTGTAATGAATACAGACAATAATGTACTATAATGATGTAATGATAAATATTGCTTCAGTGGCAATTATATTACAATATATAAATGAAAGTAACAGGCTGCATACCTTAAGTTTATAAAATGTAACATATCAAATTAATCAGACTTTTTAAAAAGTCTGTTCCTTCCAGACTCCTGCAAGCCTCCCGCAGGGGTGGGGAACGTCTGGCCCGCGGGCCACATAAGGCCCATGAAATCAATACCAGCTCACATCACATGCCTCACCAGATTAGCCTGACCAAATATAGCAGGCTAATTTTTAAGTTGATAATTTTGATACGCCCCGAATGATGTTATAAATATCCAAATGGCCCTCTGCAGAAAAAAGGTTCCCCACCCCTGCAGGGTTGCTTCTAGTCTAGTGTATAGGAACAACCCAACCCCCACAGGAAAACCATGTGAAGGAGAATTCAATCCACCCCCCTCAACTACCCCTAAAATTTAGCCAAAATTACACCAGCATATTTTGAAGTTAGTTTTCAACCATGGCTCTACTGTCTGAAAGTAGGTTCCCTGGATTTAGAAAAGGAAATGAAAAACTTAAATACCTAACCAGAACAAGAAATCAGGGGTTAGTCCATACTTAAGAGAATGATCATGTGTGAACCCAGAAATGTCACCTATGACTGCAATGAAAAGCTTCTTGATGTCACAGTGTCTTTACAGTTGTCTGTTGACAGGGTGTCTGTTACAGCGGATATGAGGCTGATCTGACTACAAGATTTGTACCACTGAGCCCTGGCCGGTTTGGCTCAGCGGTTAGAGCGTCGGCCTGCGGTCCGGAGAGACCCGGGTTCGGTTCCCGCTAAGGGCACGTACTTCGGTTGCAGTTTGTCCCCGGCCCTGGTTGGTTGTGCGGGTGGCAGCCACTCGATGTGTCCCTTTCACATCGATGTTTCTCTCTCTCTCTCTCTCTTCTTCTCTCTCCCTCCCACTCTATCTGTACAAAAAATGGAGAAATGTCCTCGGGTGAGGATTAAAAAAAAAAAAAAAGATTTGTACCACTGAGGCCATCAAATTCTATAGAAACCTGGTAGAGAATCTGGGTATAAAGAAGTCTGGGTTTCCCTGGCTGGTGTGACTCAGTTGGTTGAGTTTCCTCTTATGCACCAAAAGGTCACCAGTTCCAATTCCTGCTCAGGGCACATGCCTGGGTTGTGGGCTCGATCCCCAGTAGTGGCTGTGCAGGAGGCAGCCGGTCAACGTTTTTCTCTCTCACATTGATGTCTCTCTCTCTCTCTCTCCCTGTCCTTTCCTCTCTCTTTCTCCAAAATCAATAAAAACATGTTTGTTTTTTAAAAGAAGTCTGGGTTTGAGATCCGGACCTGCCATCCAAGACCTATATGCTCTTCGGCCAATTAATCTCTCGGCACCTCAGTTAATCTGCAAAATGGTGGTGATACAGGTGTCTGCTTCAGTGAGTTCTTCAGATGAAATGAAATAGTGAATGCAAAGTGCTTATCAATGGCAAGTTGTAGCTGCCGCTGCTGGCGGTCACTGACCTCCCCTCTGCACTGCCGTTCGCAGGTGCGGTGCTGCCTCTGGCGCTGGGTTTGGCCGTCACTGCACTGCTGCTGCTCATGGTCGCCTGCCGGCTGCGCCTGTTGAAGCAGAAACTTAAAAAAGCTCGTCCCATTACATCGGAGGAATCGGACTACCTCATCAATGGGATGTATCTGTAATAAGTATACCTTAAATGGCGGGGAAAGGACATATTTCACTTATAATTTATACATATACTGCATTTGGGAGCTTGAGAACTTGTTTTTAGCTGGGCTAAGACAAGTATGGAAAACCCAGAAGGTTCTGTAAGCCCCAAACCTTTGTTCTTATTTATTTTAGAAAGGTTTTCCTTGAGAAGTATGTGAAATATTTTGAAATTTAGAGGAGTCCATATGGTTAAACACTTACAGATCTAATTCTGATTTACGTACACTGTCCCTGAAAATAGATACTTGTAGTTAGCCAAGACACAAGATGTGGGATCTCAGGAGGCGGCCTTGGCCGGGCAGTGTCAATAACCTGTCAATAACCGTCGACTTCGTGGAAGCCCGCCACGGGCCCTGGCACCCCGAACCTCCTCCTGCACGGCTCCCCGTCCTGGGGCCCTCCTGGTCCTCACTGCAAACTTCCACGCGCTCCTTTCTCGCCCCTTCAAAACCTGCTTCTCAGAACGGATCGCAAGTGAGTTGTATCCTCAGTGAGATGTTATCTGTGGCTATCTAAATTATAACCTTACGAACAGGTCATGGTGTCTCAGGGAAGGTGAATGTGCGTTCTGTCCAACGCCTCTGACATGTCATGTAGGTGGCTGCCTCGTTAGGCTGACCCTTGGGAGAAAAAACTCAGACTGAATTACAAATAGCTCTAACATGATTATGAATCAATACAGGAAATCAAGGTGGAATCTGGCAGGTCAAAAATGTAACCAACTTAGCTGAGGGCAAAGCGAGCAAGGACTATCGGTACTTTCTGGAACGTACTCCACACTGCTTGCTGTGCAGAACACAGCAGCTCATTTCATAGTCATCCATTTTCAACATTAGTCTGTGTTGATGGGAGAGGAAAATGCATTTAAATAGAAAAGCAGAACATTGAGTGGATTTCTGGGTGCCGCTTTTGTAATGTCAGATGTTTACGTATCAGCAGGCTCTTTCATCCACTGGAATTGCAGTTTTTCCCATCATTTATTTAATGCTATAAAATGTTACATGTGCAGTGAGCTAATGGCAGGCTATGTAGTCCCAGAGCATAAAACAGTTTTGCACAAATTACTCTTTACAGAAAACCAGCATCTAGTTTAGCATCTCTTTTTTTTTTCTGCTAGGATTTTAAAGGCAAATTATTCCCATCATCACCTAATGCCAGAATTATACATTTTCTAGAAATTATTCTTTGGGGGGGCTATATAGTGGGGTGCGTGTCTACACTCACATGGTGTTCCTATTTACATAATGGGGGTTTTATTTTGTTGTTTTTTATCGTGACAAATCTTTTAAATTTCCTAGATACTCTAAGGACACATATTTTCAGACTGAACCTGAGACAGGTTGTTCCTTTAGCAAAGAGCTTAATTTGGGTTGGAAATATAACCAAATACTTCAACAAATGGGAAGTTCTAGAAAAACAGATATTGGTTATTTTTATTTCCTGAAAAATTCAAGCATTTTATTGACAGTTTAGAATTGAGCAAAGGTTTAAATTTCTCCTCAAGGGCTGTGGAGAGAAATGACTGAATGAACCTAAGATGTCTGTACTCTATGTGACGCCGTGGCCCTTTGTTTTCTATGGAAGGATGTCACCTACAGCCATACCCAATAAAATCAAAACTATTGAGGCATGTCTTTCAGCACTTGTTTTATACATGAAGAAATGAGACACAATTTAGTACTGCTATGATGTTGAAATACTTAAGATATCCCGTGTACAGTAGTCCTTTAATAAATTGTATTTTATTCTTAAGCCTTTACAACTTTTTAATATAATCATACGTTGCCCATATTTACTATCTTACCTGGATTTAATCATACCAACCCTAGTTTACAAAGAGGGAAATTAAGGATTGGAGAAGCAGAATCAGGATCTTCAAAATATTTACATTGTCAGATGGACTGAACAGGACTTTTTAAAGTCATCTTACCTGTTGATTATGTGATTGAAGGAGTTCTGCACCTCAGACAATTTAAAAATAACCTTAAAGGGAAAGTTGTCCACAAGTTACCTCAGACATGTCCTTGTGTTTCACATCTGTTTTCCTGAGAAAAGACCCACTGACATCTTTCCAAAAACGTAAATCTTTCCTTCAATCTCAGCACAAGCAGACTAGAGCTACCCTCCGCCTCCACAAGCTTTTTCATGTTTCAAGTCACCCAGGTATCATGTGTTCTCCTCCATGGGACATAACAGCGTTTCCGTGTTCCTCCCACGGACTTCAGAACCTGTGGCCTGCTTCGGGTCCCCTTTCCCACTAACCTGCACCTCCTGCAGCCCCGGGGCGTCACGGAGCACTGCACCGGGTTTCTCCCCGGCATATACGTAGAGGTGCTTTTGCTGTTCAAGGCAGGCCTTGTTGATGAATTAACTGGATTTCACCTGTATAAACACCAGTGTGGTGTGCCCCCAAACACAGGTCCGTCCTTTTCTCCACATGTTCCGTCCACATCATATTGATGGTGGAACATAAGCATCTGAGCCCGAGATTCTGCAATTTGGGGGTCTCTGTTAAATTACATTATCCCTGAACAATTTCACATTTTGGGTTTTGCTGCCTTTGGGATTATACTACTTTGTTACTAGCAGAATTACTCCAATTATTCTAGGTTTCCTACAACTGTTGGTATTAAAATTGAATGACAATTTCTAACAATAAACCACCCAAGCCAAATTCAAAGAGGGAAAAGCTTAGTTTGCTATTCACAAATGATCTATCTCCCTGGCTTTTTCCGCAACTATATTGCTGACTTATTCTTGGGTACTGGCCCCAAGCTCTTTTGCCCCACTCGATTGTGTTCTCAAGATGAATGCATTTTTTCAGTTACTTTAATGGCAAATACTCATAGATTCTTTGGCTAAATATGAAACCATTAAGGATAAAAATAAGGTTAGACACCCCAAAGTTAAATGTGTTCAGGAATGGATTAAATTATTAGGACTGAGCCTTCTACATTTGCTTTATTTAAGTCTGTCTGCTTCCTACTTATTTTAATTCTCAGATCACATCAGTTTTTTAATGTTGTATGTTACCACACTGTAAAGTGGAGAGATCAACTTTCAGTATCACTCAACTAAAGATCTTTTTTTTTTTATCCTCACCCGAGGACATTTTTCCATTTTTTTTTTCAGACAGAGAGGAAGGGGGAGAGAGGGAGAAAGAGAGAGAAAAACATCAACGTGAAAGGGACACATCGAGTGGCCGCCACCCACCTGACCAACCAGGGCCGGGGACAAACTGCAACTGAGGTATGTGCCCTTAGCGGGAACCGAACCCGGACCTCTCTGGACCACAGGCCGACGCTCCAACCGCTGAGCCAAACCGGCCAGGGAAAAGATCTTTTTATAAAGTCTCAAAACTTAGAAAACTTCTCAAAGCAAATTTTAATACAAAGATTATTTTAGCCCTGGCCGGGTTGGCTCAGTAGTTAGGAGCACTGACCCGTGGACCAAAGAGTTGCAGGTTCGATTCGCAGTCTAGGGAACCCATCTTGGTTGCAGTTTTCTCCCTGGTCTGGTCGGGGTCATGTGAGAGGCAGCCCATTATGTGTCTCTCCCACATCTCCCCTCCCCCCCCTCCTGCCCTCCTACTCTATCTATAAAAAAATCAGTGGAAAAATATAGTTGGGTGAGGATTTAAAAAAAATTTTAACTTTTACAAATAGCTTAAGGAAAATTGTGTTGAGTATATTGACTTTTTAAAAATGTTCTTTCCAAAATATCAACAAGAAAATGCCAGCTTTAAATGATATATTAGACCAGGTGGATTTAATTGATATTTTCAGAGCATTACACCCTCAAACTTCAGGATATACATTTTTTCAAGTGCACAGGGAACAGCATAGGTTAGGCCATAAAACAAGCCTCCATAAATTCCAGATGGAAATCATTTCAAGCATTTTGTCTGACCACATGGTATGAACTAGAAATCAATTACAAAAATAAAACTGAAAAACACAAACATATGGAGGCTAAATAACATGTTACTAAACAGTGAATGGGTTAACAATAAGATCAAGGAAGAAATCAAAAGATACCTTGAGACAAAGGAAAATGAAAACACAACGACCCAAAATCTTTGGGACACACTGAAATCAGTCGTAAGAGGATAATTCATAGCATTACAGGCCTACCTAAAGAAACAAAAATCGCCCTGGCCGGTTTGGCTCAGCGGCTAGAGCATCGACCTGTGGTCTGGAGAGACCCGGGTTCGGTTCCCGCTAAGGGCATGTACCTTGGTTGCAGTTTGTCCCCGGCCCTGGTTGGTTGTGCAGGTGGCAGCCACTCGATGTGTCCCTTTCACGTTGATGTTTCTCTCTCTCTCTCTCTCCCTCCCACTCTATCTGTACAAAAAAATGGAAAAATGTCCTCGGTGAGGATTAAAAAAAAAAAAAAGAAACAATAAAAATCTCAAAAATCACTTAAATGAACTAGAAAAAGAACAACAAAGCCCAAAATATGCAGAAAAGGTTATAATAATGATCAGAGCAGAAATACATAAAATAGAATCTAAAATAACAAAACAAAAGATCAATGAAATCAAGAGCTGGTTCTTTGAAAAGGTAAACAAAATTGATAAACCTTTAACCAGACTCCTCAAGAAAAAGAGAGAGGGCCCAAATAAAATCCTAGAAACATACAAACTCCCAAGACTGAATCAAGAGGAAACAAAAAATCTGAACAGACCAATAAAAAAGCAGTAATAAAAAAACTCCAATAAAAGTCTGGGACTGGATCGTTTCACAGGTAAATTTTACCAAACATTCAAAGAACTAACACCTATTCTCAAACCATTCCAAAAATTCAAGAGGAAGGCAGACTCTCAAGCTCATTTTATGAGGACATTGTTATCCTGATTCTAAAACCAGATGAAGACATTACAAAGAAAGAAAATTATAGGCCAGTATCCCTGATGAATATAGATGCAGAAATCCTCAACAAAATATTAGCAAACCAAAATTTAGCAATACATCCAAAAGGATCACATACCATGATCAAGTGGAATTGTCCCCTGAAATGCAAGGATGGTTCAGCACCTGCAAATCAATTAATGTGATTACTCCGTGTAAACAAAAAAACAGATAAAAATCATGTGGCCATTTCAATAGATGCAGAAAAGCATTTGACAAAATTCAGCACCTATTCATGATAAAAACTCTCAACAAAGTGGGAATAGAAAGAACACAGCTCAGCCCTGGCCGGTTTGGCTCAGCGGTTAGAGCGTCGACCTGCGGTCCTGAGAGACCCGGGTTCGGTTCCCGCTGAGGGCATGTACCTCGGTTGCGGTTTGTCCCCGGCCCTGGTCGGTCGTGCGGGTGGCAGCCACTCGATGTGTTCCTTTCACATCGATGTTTCTCTCTCTCTCTCTGTTCCTCTCTCTCCCTCCCACTCTACCTGAACAAAAAATGGGAAAGTTGCCCTGGCCGGTTTGGCTCAGCGGTTGGAGCGTCGGCCTGCGGTCCGGAGAGACCCGGGTTCGGTTCCCGCTAAGGGCACGTACCTCGGTTGCAGTTTGTCCCCGGCCCTGGTTGGTTGTGCGGGTGGCAGCCACTCGATGTGTCCCTTCACGTCGATGTTTCTCTCTCTCTCTCTCCCTTCCTCTCTCTCCCTCCCACTCTATCTGTACAAAAAATGGAAAAATATCCTCGGGTGAGGATAAAAAAAAAAAAAAAAAAAAAAAAATGGGAAAGTGTCCTCGGGTGAGGATAAAAAAAAAAAAAAAAATGGGAAAGTGTCCTCGGGTGAGGATTAAAAAAATAAAAATAATAAAGAACACAGCTCAATGTAATAAAGGCCAATATGACAAACCTACAGTAACATCATACTCAATGGGGAAAAACTAAGAGCATTTCCCTTAAGATCAGGAACAAGACAGGGATGTTCACTTTCACAACACTTATTCAACATAGTACTGGAAGTCCTAGCCATAGCAGTCAGACAAGGAAAATAAAAGGCATCTAAATTAAAAAAGAAGTAAAACTACCATTATTTGCAGATGGCATAATACTGTATAAAGAGAACCCTAAAGATTCCACCCCAAAAATTTACTAGAACTGACAAATAAATTCAGTAAAGTAGCAGGATACAAAATAAATATCCAGAAATTGGTTGCATTTTTATACACCAATAATGAGCTGTCAGAAAGGGAAACTCAGAAAACAATCTGATTTCCAATTGCATTTAAAAAACCCCACCTAGGAATAAATTTAATCATGGATGTACAATACCTGTACTCAGAAAATTATGACACTGAAGAAAGAAATCAAAGAAGAT